TGATTTTTCACAATGATATTTTTCACGAGCGCACAAAATACATCGAGATTGATTGGAATCTTGTCAATCATCATATTACTTATGGAAACGTCAAGTTATGACCCGTATATTCCAACGATCAAACTACAGATATTTTTACCAAGTCACATTGTAATACCTCTGGAGTTGGATCGGTGCTAGAGCAACTTCCGTGGATAAGCTGGTGTCAGACCATCCAAAATTAAATACTAATTAAATGGATTGAATAGACAACTCATGTAAAGATTGTGCACATTCCTTTTCGGGAGCCGCATTGACGATGGGTGACCCACTGCGTGTTAGTGAGGACAGAAGCGCGCTCGAATGACTCGTTTTGACCTGTGGGGCCAGTCTATGATCCTGGCACGCCCAGCTTTGCGGGGCTTGTGAGCAAGGTGTCACAGTTGGTATCAGAGCCGACCTGTGATAGCCCAAAGTCGTTAACCTGACTGTTGAGAGGCCTAGAAGTTTTGTTTTATATATAGCAAAGGCTGCGCCCAAATTGGGCTGCCTACGTACCCGAATGGGATACAAGCTATACGTAGTTCTGCTGATACAAGCTATACAGTCCAAGCCAAGCAAGCAGACCAGACAAGCCTAGGTATGCCTAAGGCATCAACACCAACAAGCCTATCAAGTCTAAGTATAAGTCTCCTAAAGACAAGTAAGAAGGTGAAGCTTACTACCTGAAATGGAAAGTTGGGAGACCATCTGCATCCGCTCAAAAAAGGCATCAAGGGATATCTGTCGGGAGAAGTTTCCGTCCAATTAGAAGATAAACTGCTAAAGTCGCTAAGGCATCCGCCACACAGTTCCCCTCCATATATATACAAGACATCTGCCAAGTTGCATCCCTAAGTCACAGTCAAATACACATAAGGCATTGCTGGAGAGTCCAGTGGCTCGTCTCTAAGGAGATCAGAGAGATGCATATTGTCGAATCTGTCTCAATCCATAGTAGCATCAGTCCTTGACCAATCGCTATCCAAACTTTAGTTTGCATCGCCATCAGCTCTGCCAAAGTGTTTGTCGCATACAGAATCAGGGTCTGAAACACTATGAGTAATTCTCCTGCCGAATCTCGGATAATACTTGCCACTCCGGGATTGCCAAGCGAAGCACCATCTGTATTAAACTTGAACCATCCCGGAGACAAAGCCTCCCAATGCACCATAATCGGAAGCCAAGGAATCAGAGCGGGAGATCAAAATCCAAGCCCATTAGCTATATGAAAGTCACCCTCCCAATGTCGACGTAGAACAATCCTAGCATGCCAAAGAGTGTGCAAGTGTGAATGAATTTGCTAGATGATCCTCTCGGAAGACACGCGAAGCCCTCTATGCTTCGCATCGTTCCGAGCAATCCAAATGAACCATTGTATCAACAACGGAACATAAGCTCTAATACTCTGAGAATGTGCCGAAGAAAGCCTCCATGAGGACACAAATAGATACAGTGTATGTATCTCAAGCAAAGATAGCCTGAAAAGCGCCGCAAAATGCTCCAACAATCGCCAGGCAACCGCCGAACCAATAAAGAGATGTGGAATAGTCTCCACCTCTATATAACAACAATGACATCGTGATGCAATCGAGACCCCATAGTGCTGAAGGATCTTGTCCGTTAGAATCCATCGCCGAAATAATCTCCATAGGAATACGGACATCGTTGCAGTCAAGATATGTGACCATAGTATCCCCATAGAGGCTTAGCAATTGATAGATCAATAGGGTGCAACATGAACGTTGCGTTTTTACGTGGGGGAGGATGTAATACCCCCGAAGTTGGGCCTGTGCTAGCCCAACTTCCGTGGATGAGCCGGTGTCAGGCCATGCAAGATTGAATAGTAAATAAATTGGTTGAATATACTACTCATGTCAACAATGTGCATATTTCTTTTCAGAAGCCCTACAGAAAAAACTCTATAGAGTTAAGCGTGCTTATCTTAGAAGTAATTTAACGATGGGTGACCCCCTGAAAAGTCTACCAGGGTGCAGGTGAGTAAGGACAGAACTCTGCTAGAAGGACTCGTGTTGACTTGTGGGCTAGTCTATGATCTGGGCAATCCCGGCTTTGCGGGGCTTGCTCAGTTTTGTTCTCACTTACACAAACTCGAGTTGACATTTACGGCTTGGAATATTTATTTGTTCATCTTATTATTCATTTTTATCCATTTTAGACTATGCCTATAAATAGGCATTGGCTTTCGTTTTAATGTACTTAATTATTTTCCTACCAAAATATTACAGTAACGAGAACAACAATACATGTAACCTTTACTTTATTTCTATGATCTAGTTTATTATAAAGGTTTTTCCATCTTCACCAATTTTGGTTTTTAATTTTAGCAAATTATTTTAAGTTTTAGTCAAACTTGGGGTGTATTGATATAATCTTTAATATATATATATATATGTAAAGGCTAGATCTAATCAAATAACAGTTAATGTATAACAACATCAAAAGAGAAAAGGAAAACATATACAAAAAATATATTGAAAATGAAACATCACCTTGAGTTTTTATTCAATGCTCCAAATAATAGATATGAAGTATGAAATCTTTGAATTATCAACTACTTAATTAAGGATTTAAGTAACATATGACATAAACATTTGCACAAGAAAGAAAGAAAATAATTTTGAATTATCACTACAAGAAAATATCATTTTGTAACGAAGTCTTTTTGTCCCTAAATTCACTTTTTCCGTTACTAATGACATTAGAGAAGGAATTAGGGATGTAATTATATTAGCTATGTGAACTTTAGGGACGGAATTCCGTTACAAATATACAATTTGTTTTGTAGTGAATAGTCTGACCTTGAGTATATAAAAACCTTAGATCAAGTTGAATCGTAGCCTAAACTGAATGAATAACAATATCAACAATCAATCAAATGAGTAACAAGAATGCATATAAGAATAGATTGAAACAGCAACGTAACATTTCACTACAAAAAAAATAGTATATTCGTAACGAAATTCCGTCTCTAAAGTTTACGTAGCTAACGTAATTTCATCTTAAATTTTATCTCTATTGTCATTAGTAATGGAAAACATGGATTTAGAGACAAAAAAACCTCGTTACAAAAATAATATTTTCTTGTAGTGTTTGTATAGATTCTACTCTCCAATTGAATCATACCTAAAAACTAAATGAATAGCAATATAAACAATGCATTGAATTCTCACCATACCACTTCTCTGAGTTAATTTTGAGGTTTTATCCAACCTCGAGTATGTGAAAAAAATTCTTGATTACTTCAAAAACATTGATCTAGTCGAATTGTAGTGAATAATTGAATGAATAACAATACCAACAATGTACAAAGCAAAAAGGAAAATGCATGTATAAGAATAGATTGAAAAAGAAAAACAATCTTGTGTTGAGATGTCACTCTGCAAATAATGGATCTAAAACGATCTAAAACATAAAATCTTTAAACTCTCAACTACTTACTTAGCTGGATTTAGTTTTGAGTTTTTTCCACCCTCAAGTATATTGAAAAATCTCGAGTGTATCGAAAAGTTAGATGTAGTTGAGTCGTAGCTAAAAAGTAAATGAATGGAACTATCAACAATAAATTGAATCTAGACTAATCAATTCTCCAAATTAGTTTTTACTTTTTGTCCGACTTAAAGTATATAAAAAAAAATCTTGAGTATATCATAAACATAAATCCGGTCGAATAGTAGCTAAAAGTTGAATGAATAAAAATACCATAAGTATATCCAACGAGAAATGAAAACGCATGACTAAGAATAGATTGAGAAAGCAACATAACCTTGTGTTTAGATGACACTCTGCGAATAATTGATAACAAATGTGTAATCTCTGAATTCTCGACTTCTTAATTCTCCGAAATAATTTTGAGTTTTGTCCAACTTTGAGTATATTGAACAATTCTCAAGTGTATCAAAAACTTAGAGCCAGTTGAATCGTACCTAAAAACTAAATGAATAGTAATATCAACAATGTATCGAGTTCTCAATTATGCACTTTTTCAAATTAGTTTGGAGTTTTTATACAACCTCAAGTATATCGAAAAAAATCTTGAGTATATCAAAAACTTAGATCCAGTTAAATTGCAGCTAAAAATTGAATGAATAACAAAACCAACAATGTATGAAACCAGAAACAAAAATGCATGTATAAGAATAAATTGTAATAGAAACATAACTTTATTTTAAAATTCTACTCTTCAAAAAATGGATCTAAAATGTGACATCTCCAATTTCTCGAGTACTTAATTATCCAAAATTATTTTGATTTTTGTCCAACCTTGAGTATATTGGAAATATTTTGACCTCATCAAAAACTTAGATCCAAGTGAATCATACCAAAAAACTAAATGAATAGCAATATCAACAATGCTTTAAGTTCTTGCCATCTTAGTTCTCTGAATTAATTTTGAGGTTTTATCCAACCTCGAGTATACAAAAAAAAATCTTAATTACATCAAAATCTTAGATCTAGTCGAATCATCGCGAAGAATTGAATGAATAACAATATCAACAATGTCCAAAGCAAAAAGGAAAATGCATGTATAAGAATAGTTTGAAAAAGAAACATAACATTGTGTTTAGAAGCTACTATGCAAATAATCAATCTAAAACGATATAAAACATAAAATCTTTAAATTCTTGACTACTTAATTCTCCGGAATTGGTTTTTAGTTTTGTCCAGCGTCAAGTATATTGAAAAAATCTCGAGTGTATCGAAAAGTAAGATGTAGTTGAGTCGTACGTAAAAAGTAAATGAATGGCAATATAAACAATGACTCGAATCTAGACTAGTCAATTCTCTGAATTTATTTTTAGTTTTTGTCCGACCTCGAGTATATAAAAAAATCTTAAGTATATCAAAAACATAGATCCGGTCGGATAGTAGCTAAAAGTTGAATGAATAACAATAACATAAGTATATCCAAGTAGAATTGAAAATGCATGAAAAAGAATAGATTGAGAAAGCAACATAACCTTGTGTTTAGATGGCACTCTGTGAATAATGGATCACAAATGCGTAATCTCCAAATTCTCGACTTCTTAATACTCTGAAATAATTTTGAGTTTTGTCCAACTTTGAGTATATTGAACAATTCTCGAGTGTATCGAAAACTTAGATCAAGTTGAATCGTACGTAAAACTAAATGAATAGTAATATCAACAATGTATCGAGTTCTCAATTACGCAATTTTTCAAATTAGTTTGGAGTTTTTTACAACCTCAAGTATATCGAAAAAAATCTTGAGTATATCAAAAACTTAGATCCGGTTAAATTGCAGCTAAAAATTGAATGAATAACAAAAACAACAATGTATGAAACCAGAAATGAAAATACATGTATAAGAATTGATTTTAACAGAAACATAACTTTATTTTCAAATCCCACTTTTCAAATAATGGATCTAAAATGTGAAATCCCTAATTTCACGACTACTTAATTATCCGAAATAATTTTGATTTTTGTCCAGCCTTGAGTATATTGAAAATATCTTGACCTCATCGAAAACTTAGATCCAAGTGAATCATGCCTAAAAACTAAATGAATAGCAATATCAACATTGCTTTAAATTCTCGCCATCTTAATTATCCGAATTAATTTTGAGGTTTTATCCAACCTTGAGTATATCGAAAAAAATCTTGATTATATCAAAAACATAGATCTAGTCGAATCATCGTGAAGAATTGAATGAATAACAATATCAACAATGTCCAAAGCAAAAAGGAATATACATGTATAAGAATAGTTTAAAAAGAAACATAACATTGTGTTTACAAACTAGTCTGCAAATAATCAATCTAAAACGATCTAAAACATAAAATCTTTAAATTCTCGACTACTTAATTCTCCAGAATTAGTTTTTAGTTTTGTCCAGCCTCAAGTATATTGAAAAAATCTCGAGTCTATCGAAAAGTGAGATGCAATTGAGTCGTACCTAAAAAGTAAATGAATGGCAATATAAACAATGAATCGAATCTAGACAAGTCAATTCTCCAAATTAATTTTTAGTTTTTGTCCGACCTCGAGTATAGAAATAAAATCTTGAGTATATTAAAAACATAGATCCGTTTTGATAGTAGCTAAAATTTGAATATATAATAATACCATAAGTATATCCAAGGAGAAATGAAAACTCATGAATAAGAATAGATTGAGAAAGCAACATAACCTCGTGTTTAGATGCCACTCTGCGAATAATGGATCGCACACGCGTAATCTCCAAATTCTCGTCTTCTTAATTCTCCAAAATAATTTTGAGTTTTGTCCAACTTTGAGTATATTGAACAATTCTCGAGTATATCGAAAACTTAGATCCAGTTGAATCGTACCAAAAAAACTAAATAAATAGTGATGTCAACAATATATCGAGTTCTCAATTACCCAATTCTCCGAATTAGTTTGGATTTTTTGTCCAACCTCAAGTATATCGAAAAAAAATCTTGAGTATACGAAAAACTTAGATCCGGTGGAATTGTAGCTAAAAATTGAATGAATAGCAATACCAACAATGTATCAAACCAGAAACGAAAATGCATGTATAAGAATAGATTGTAACAGAAACATAACTTTATTTTGAAATTCCACTCTCCAAATAATGGATCTAAAATGTGAAATATCCAATTTCTCGACTACTTAATTATCCGAAATAATTTTGATTTTTGTCCAACCTTGAGTATATTGAAAATATCTTGACATCATCGAAATCTTATATCCAAGTGAATCATACCTAAAAACTAAATGAATAACAATATCATCAATGTTTTTAATTCTCGTCATCTTAATTCTCCGAATTAATTTTGAGGTTTTATCCAACCTCGAGTATATCGAAAAAAATCTTGATTACATCAAAAACTTAGATCTAGTTGAATCGTAAAGAAGAATTGAATAAATAACATTACCAATAATGTACAAAGCAAAAAGGAAAATACATGTATAAGAATAGATTGAAAAAGAAACATAGACTTGTGTTTAGATGCCACTCTGCAAATAATGGATCTAAAACGATCTAAGACATAGAATCTTTCAATTCTCGACTACCTATTTCTCCGGAATTAGTTTTTAGTTTTGTCCAACCTCAAGTACATTGAAAAAATCTTGAGTGTATCAAAAAGTAAGATGCAATTAACTCGTACCTAAAAAGTAAATGAATGTAAATATCAACAAAGAATCTAATCTAGACTAGTCAATTCTCCAAATTAAATTTTAGTTTTTGTCCGACCTCAAGTATATAAAAAAAAATTAAAAAAAATCTTTAGCATATAAAAAACATAAATTCGTTCAAATAGTAGTTAAAAGTTGAATGCATAACAATACCATTAGTATATCAAATGAGAAATGAAAACGCATGAATAAGAATAGACTGCAAAAGCAACATAACCTTGTGTTTAGATGCCACCCTGCGATAATAGATCACAAATGCGTAATCCAAATTCTCGAGTTCTTAATTCTCCGAAATAATTTTGAGTTTTGTCCAAATTTGAGTATATTGAACAATTCTCGAGTGTAACGAAAACTTAGATCCAGTTGAATCGTACCTAAAAACTAAATAAATAGTGATATCAACAATGTATCAAGTTCTCAATTATGCAATTCTCCGAATTAGTTTGGAGTTTTTGTCCAACAGCAAGGATATCGAAAAAAATCTTGAGTATATGAAAAACTTAGATCCGGTGGAATCGTAGCTAAAAATTGAATGAATAACAATACCAACAATGTATCAAACAAGAAACAAAAATGCTTGTATAAGAATATATTCTAACAGAAACATAAATTTATTTTTAAATTCGACTCTCCAAATAATGGATCTAAAATGTGAAATCTCGAATTTCTCGACTGCTAAATTATCTGAAATAATTTTGATTTTTGTCCAACCATTAGTATATTGAAAATATCTTGACCTCATCAAAAACTTAGATCCAAGTTAATCATACCTAAAAACTAAATGAATAGCAATATCAACAATATTTTTAACTCTCACCATCTTAATTCTCCGAATTAATTTTGAGGTTTTATCCAACCTCGAGTATATCGAAAAAAATCTTGATTAGATCAAAAACATAGATCTAGTCGAATCGTTGTGAAGAATTGAATGAATAACAATACCAACAATGTCCAAACCAAAAGGAAAATGCATGTATAAGAATAGACTGAAAAAGAAACATAACATTGTGGTTAGAAGCCACTCTACAAATAATCGATCTAAAACGATGTAAAACATAAAATCTTGAAATTCTCGACTACTTAATTCTCCGGAATTAGTATTTAGTTTTTTTTTTTTAACCTCAACTATATTGAAAAAATCTCAAGTGTATCGAAAAGTGAGATGAAGTTGAGTCGTACCTAAAAAGTAAATGAATGGCAATATCAACAATGAATCGAATCTAGACTAGTCAATTCTCTGAATTAATTTTTAGTTTATGTCCGACCTTGAGCATATAAAAAAAATCTTGAGTATATCAAAAACATAGATCCGGTCGGATATTAGCTAAAAGTTGAATGAATAACAATACCATAAGTATATCGAAGGAGAAATGAAAACGCATGAATAAGAATAGATTGAGAAAGCAACATAACCTTGTGTTTAGATGCCACTCTGCGAATAATGGATCACAAACGCGTAATCTCCATATTCTCGACTTCTTAATTCTCCAAAATAATTTTGAGTTTTGCCCAACTTTGAGTATATTGAACAACTCTCGAGTGTATCGAAAACTTAGATCCAGTTGAATCGTACCTAAAAACTAAATAAATAGTGATATCAACAATGTATCAAGTTCTCATTATGCAATTCTCCGAATTAGTTTGGAGTTTTTGTCCAACAGCAAGTATATCAAAAAAATCTTGAGTATATGAAAAACTTAGATCCGGTGGAATCGTAGCTAAAAATTGAATGAATAACAATACCAACAATGCATCAAACCAGAAACGAAAATGCATGCATAAGAACAGATTGTAACAGAAACGTAACTTTTTTAAAAAATTCCACTCTCCAAATAATGGAACTAAAATGTGAAATCTCCAATTTCTCGACTACTTAATTATCCGAAATAATTTTGATTTTTTTCCAACATTGAGTATATTGAAAATATCTTGACCTCATCAAAAACTTAGATCCAACTTAATCATACCTAAAAACTAAATGAATAGCAATATCAACAATGCTTTTATTATCGCCATCTCAATTCTCCGAATTAATATTTTGGATTTTTCTAACCATGAGTATATCGAAAAAAATCTTGATTATATCAAAAACTTAGATCTAGTCGAATCGTAGCAAAGAATTATATGAATAACAATACCAACAATGTACAAAGCAAAAGGAAAATGCATGTATAAGAATAGATTGAAAAAGAAACACAACATACTGTTTAGAAGCCACTCTGCAAATCATATATCTAAAATGATCTAAAACATAAAATCTTGAAATTCTTGACTACTTAATTCTCCGGAATTAGTTTTTAGTTTTTTCCAACCTCAAGTATATTGAAAAAATCTCGAGTGTATCGAAAAGTGAGATGCAATTGAGTCGTACCTAAAAAGTAAATGAATGGAAATATCAACAATGAATTGAATCTAGACTAGTCAATTCTCCAACTTAATTTTTAGTTTATGTCCGACCTCGAGTATATAAGAAAAATCTTGACTATCAAAAACATAGATCCGACCAAATAGTAGCTAAAATTTGAATGAATAACAATACCATAAGTATATCAAAGGAGAAATGAAAACGCATGAATAAGAGTAGATTGAAAAAGCAACATAACCTTGTGTTTAGATGCCACTGCGAATAATGGATCACAAATGCGAAATCTCCAAATTCTTGACTTCTTAATTCTCCGAAATAATTTTAAGTTTTGCCCAACTTTGAGTATATGGAACAATTCTCGAGTGTATCTAAAATTTAGATCCAGTTGAATCGTACCTAATAACTAAATCGAAAACAAGATTAAAGAAACTAAATAGAACTTTTATTAGAATAAAAAAAAACCCAAGAACACAGTAGGAACACAAAAGCACAAACTATTGTACCTCAGATTTTACGAGGTATAC